CAACTCCCTGCTACCATCAAATGTTCTGAGATTTTAACTAATAAAAGAGGCACAGCTGAACTGTCCTGCATTGTATCGGAAATCTCAACTGACAGAACTTTTGCATGAACTTTACAAGGAGAACAGGGAAGAGGTGCTCCTTAGCCTTTCCTTATGAGTCTCTATATGGTAGAACTTCCTGTAAGTATGAAGGAAAATCGTAGAGTCTAAACAATGTGATGATGTAACATCTGAAATGGAGGAAAAAGAAAAGTATGGAAGAAAGTTAAGTTCCCTTACTCATATCTTTCACTGGCTCAAAAAGGAAGCAACCAAACTCTACATAGTCACTTATTAGAAGATTTTTTTTCAGTTCTACACAATAATACAGAGAGCTAGACTGTAGCTGTTTGAGAACATAAGGACCTTAATTTAGAATAAAATTTAAAACAAAACAAAACAAAACAAAACAAACAGGTTATTGGAGGAAGAAGTCTCCAGATGCATTTAAACTGATTATACAAACATCTGAAACTATTCTGTTATTACTAATACTGTTTTTAAAAAGGTAAGATTTTGGTATATAAGCATTTATTAGTAAGATATTGATTTTAAAAAATTCAATAAATAGTGGTCAAAAACAATGCTATGTCTAAAGTTAACTCAAATTAAGTAATGCTCTTCAATTGTACAACTGTGTAAAATTTCTCCAAGCTGAAAATCCTACTCTTCTGAGATAGAAAGTTCCAATTTAATCCTCATATGTAATAAAAGAGTAATCATAATCTAAAAAATTGGACCTTTTCTGTGATTATTTATGAATCATGAAAGATCTCCAAGATTTGAAGTCTATTTGTAGTGCATAAGCTTTGTGCTGTAGAAGAATCATTCAAAGAGCCAAAAAAAAGGTTATTTTTAATACTGTGTATATAATAACAAGTTACTTTCCAGTTATGTCTCTTTCAAAGTATAAAACAGTAATTTCATTCCTGCTTTAGAAACCAACTATTAGAAAGTTTTTAAGTAATTTTGGATGTGTAAAGTGGAATGTTGAACAGAAAAAAAAGCAAAATTATATATTTTCATTTATAATTTAGTTCAAAACAAATTCAATAAATCTCTCCTTTCAGAAAGTTCTTGAACCAAAGACAGAAAGTCAGCATAAAGAATACTTTTCTATGAAGAATGTATCCATAAAAGATGAAAATACCTGGAACTTAGCTCCCCCTCCCTCAAATATATAACACTCATGTCTTGAATTAACCTGAGAAGTGGGTAAAATACTGAATGTAAAATTGTGACAAAGAAATCAGACAGCTTAACTGGAGAAAATAAATTTAAAATTTATTCATAGAGAAATCTCATCTATATTTGCTGTAGAGACTTCTGTCTTTTCCCACAAGAATTCATTATCAGTCAGTCATCAAAGGGAAGGAACCCATGAACTAATTTTTCACTTTCAGAAGTTATCATTTATTCAAAAGGAAACTACATATTTTTTGGAGACAAATATCAGAATGAGTATGTGAACTCTGAGTAAAACAGTCAAAGAAAGAGGAAATGTGAATAAACTATGGGAAAGGAGGTTGAAAACAAAGCCTGATGTAAACACTGCAGCCTCTGTTCACACTGTAAAATTTCAAGCCTGAGACTGACATAACATGCTGACCTCAGTTCAGATAGCATCGTCTTTTTGCACTCAGACTTTTGAGTTTAAACACTTACAAAAAGTGACTAAGTACGGATTTAAACAGTTTATTTAAATTTTAGATTTTATTTGGTACTTTCCATCTTTATATAAATTGTACATCTTCCTTTCTATATAAATTATATATCAAAATTATGCATTTTATTTATTCTTGGGTTATAAATGTGAACACGTTACCCTTGCAAATACATACTATGCTACAGCATAGTAACCTTTCTTTCTGAACTTAACTGATGGAGAGATAAATTATAAAAAACAGATAAAAAGAAAGTAATTTCTTAAAACATTTTTCAATAGATGTATGGCCACTTTAAGAACTGTCTGTATTCTGTAATCTATTTCTTTTAATTAGAAGCTCAAATTAAAAAACACAGATTCATTTTACCTCTCAAAAATATGGTAATTGAGTTTATTAAATCACTTTATAGAAAAGAAAGCCTTTTTGACACTTTAAAAATATTCTCTAAGGGAAAAGAAAGATTGAAAAGCTAAGCTAATGGGCAATCTGAAGTACAAACCATATGAAAGCATCAAATGTTGCAACTGTCTATACGGATTTTTTCACTAAATTCTCATGCATCAGTTCTGAGGTCTGAAGTGTTTCTTGCTAGTAAAGTGTACCAATGACATGCATTCAAATAAAGGGCATTGGTGCATAAATAAATTGCATGTATTCAAAGATATTACAAAATAAGAATAGATAAAACAAACAAAAAAATTAAAGGAAAATTTTAACAATTGAGATATTGAGAGAGACTCATAAAATTTATGGTCCAGCTTATGAAGTTGTACTACATCTTCCATGATGTACTAATACAGTTTCTAAACTCTTTTGACTCCTAAATAAAAAACATTTCAAAAGGCAAAATAAATTTTAATCTACATTTAGTTATATATTATCTATGGAAATAGTTAACACATGTTTCATTTTGTGTTATCAAGAGGAAAGGATGGGAAAAGCTACAGTTCCACACACTTTACTGTTGCAACTTCTTCAAATGCATTTTATTTCAAGATTATCTTAGTGAAAAGCTTAGGAGGCCATACCAGTTCTTTTTAAGAATGTTTTAAGGCTGAATAATAAAAGGCATATAAAAATGTGATTTATTTTTGCTTCTGAATATAAACTTCCACAAAATCCACCTCAATCATGGAAAATTAGTTCCAGATGATGGTATTACCTAGCAACCATCAAGTCTAATAGTTAAACAGGCCTATGCATTTATTCACGAATAAAAATGCACATGTATAGCGATGCACAGAGAGTGTAGCTAAATATGTTTGTTTTCTATGTATGTGTACTAGGTATAACACATACACACATTAAAGATAATATAACTGTAATACTCCTACGCATTCTTCTTAAAAGTGTGAAGCCAGGCATAATCAACATCTGTTGCAACACCAATACCAGATTATCATTTACTAAAAAAGCATGAAGAACAACCCTCCTAGTAAATGTGAATATTTTGATTAGCACATGTTCTGCCCATCTGCTAAAATCTTAAAGTAAATTGAAATTAGTGAATTTTTTTTCAAGCTATTCATGTAGTTTCTGCCATCATTAAGAGGTTCCACTTGAATTAACTACAAAATAGTCTTCTCTTTTTCCTATTTTAAATCACAGCGATATGCAGAATATGTTTCATCTCAATCTTTGACCACATGTCTATAGAGAAAATGCTATCAAGTAATTTACCCAAATAAATGCAGGAAGGCATAATACATAATTTTTAAATTTATTAAAATATTTCTAAGGGATTGAATTCAACTGGCATGACCAATCAAGAAAGCATGCTTTAAAAGACCTGAAGTAATGCCTCCCTTACTCATTTACAGGTAATTGTAATGGTATCTGTCTTGACACTGCTTTACTCCTTCAGTATGTGTGGATATTGTTGTTTTATTGCTGTATTTCAAGAAAGATTAATATCAAATAATGTCTGTGTTTACAGAATCACAGAATCACAGAATCAACCAGGTTGGAAAAGACCTCTGAGATCATCAAGTCCAACCCATGACCCAACACCACCCTGTCAACTAGACCATGACACTAAGTGCCACATCCAGTCTCTTCTTAAATACCTCCAGGAAGGGTAACTCCACAACCTCCCTGGGCAACCCATTCCAATGTCTGATTACTCTCTCTGTAAAGAATTTCTTTCTACTATCTAACCTAAACCTCCCCTGGTACAGCTTAAGACCATGCCCTCTTGTCCTACTGCTGGTTGCCATGGAGAAGAGATTGACCCCCACCTCGCTCCAACCTCCCCTCAGGTAGTTGTAGAGAGTGATCCTCCTCTCCTCCAAGCTAAACAGCCCCAGCTCCCTCAGCCACTCCTCATAGGACTTGTGCTTCAGCACCTTCACCAGCCTTGTTGCCCTTCTTTGGACACTCTCTAGCACCTCAGTGTCCTTCCTAAACTGAGGGGCCCAGAACTGGACACAGTACTCAAGGTGCAGCCTAACTAGTGCCGAGTACAGGGGCAGAATCACTTCCCTGATCCTGCTGGCCACATTATTCCTGATACAGGCCAGGATGCCATTGGCCTTCTTGGCCACCTGGACACACTGCTGGCTCATGTTCAGCTTCCTGTTCATTAGAACCCCCAGATCCCTTTCTACCTGGTCACTCTCCAGCCTCTCTGTCCCCAGCCTGTAGCACTGCATGGGGTTGTTGTGATCAAAGTGCAGGACCTGGCACTTGGTTTTGTTAAACATCATACCATTGGATTCCACCCATTTATCCAGCCTGTCCTGGTCCCTCTGCAGAGCCCTCCTACCCTCCAGCAGATTGACACTCCCCCCCAACTTGGCGTCATCTGCAAATTTGCTGATGGTGGATTCAATCCCCTTGTTCAGATCATCAATAAAGATATTAAACAGAACTGGGCCCAACACTGATCCCTGGAGGACACTACATACACAGAAATTTCACTGAGACAAAATCTCAGATCCTGACCTCTACTGATTATTGAAGACATATATTTTGTTATGAAAACCTCTACATCATTCTCAGAAATAAATTCTGAGTACTATTTATTCCATATTTTGTCTTAGGCATATGTCACAGAAGAGTTAAACCAGTTTGGCCAAAACACACACTTCTATACACAAAACAGAGATGTTTCATTTAACAAACAAATTCCACACTGAAGAAATAAAGGATATGAACTTATTTGCATTATTTCTTTAAACATCTGAATTTTGAAAACAGTAGTATTCAAATGGCATTTTCATAAAAGTTTTGCAATTTGTACAGACAGATTTGAAATATAAATGGATAGTGGAAAGCTTCTAAAAGTTAACTTACATGATCAATTAGTTCACGAACCATTCCATTCCACTGTCCACTGGCATCTTCTTGGGCTCCATATTTTCCATCCTCCACCAGTCTAATCTCATAGGAAAATCCAAGGATAGTAGACAGCTCCCTGAGGAGGTCAATGCAATAACCTTCAAATCGATCATTTCCGTACAAGGGTTTGTCAGACTTCTTGAACATAACATATGGCTCTTCCTGTAAGTATTAAAAAGGCAGAATGGATAATGAGTGTCCTCATACCTTTCTTCTTGTTTTAGCCTTAAGTGGTACACAGTCATGTGCACAGATACGTATACAGTTATGATACCACTCCCTGTACAAAGAACTAATAAGAAAAGTAGAATCCTTTAGCTTTGATTATGTCTGTATAAAGTCTTCATATATCTTCAAAGTGAATTTAGTCAGAAGATTCTCTTTTCCATATTTATTCGAAAAAAATTACACTCTAAACACTGTAGATATACCTTCAAGGAGTTCATATAAGAACTAAATTTAAATGTATTCCTTAAGAAATTGCATCATACATTAATTTCAAATGTATTGTTTGGATGGAAAATGCAGAAACAACATACTTTGGCAAATGAAAAAAAAATTAAAACTCCAAATATCAGTCAAATATTTTAAGTATTAGATTTTATACTTTATAAAAGTATTTTAACTGTTTTTTCATTGCTTTGTTAAGTAAAATATCAAAAGCCCACAGAAGGAGGAAAAATTTAATGTAAGCACCTATTGCGCTACTGCCTCAAATTATAGGTTGCCATTTACAAGACTGCAGCAAAACCCAAAAAAGTTAACTCAAAAAGTAAATTTTATGATACACATTCCACGAAAACTGAATTTAATTTCTTCAAATATTTGTCTTCTTATGTTTAAATTAAAGTGCAATATGACTTTTTTTTGCAATAAGTAGGCAAACAGAAAGCAAACAAATTAGAATGAATGACAGAACAGTCATAATTATGGGAAGAAAATTAACATTTAGCAAAACACAAGATTTTTACATCTGTTTCTCAGTGTAGGATAGCCTTTCTCAAATACAAAGGTGAAGGGAAAAATAAAAAAAACAAACAGTAGTTTTCTGTTACAATATGACATGAATATTCAAGTTGTACTTGATAGGTTAAATATGCAACTTGGTCTTTTCTCACCTTTGAGATAAATTTTTTTCATTTTTTACAATGAAAAAAAATAAGAACCAAGTAAGGTAAGACAAATGGTAGTAGATCCAAACACTCTATCAAATACAAGTCTCAATTAATAATCAGAAAAAACTCTCCAGGGCAAGTTAGGAAAACTCTTAGTCCTAATTCTCCACATCAGCACTCAGTGGCATTAAAGGCATCTCATTGTATGGGCATCTGTCATCTTTAATAATTATTTGTTAGCATTTCTGATATAAACCTCCGTCTTGAGGTTTCCCATGACTTAAACACTATCTCTACATAAAACTGAAACGAGTATAGAAGATTTTGCCCAAAAATGCAAAGGAGAATGCAGGGAGAAACCTTGTTCTTAAAAGAAGTGTTATCAGAAGATATTTGCTCCCCTGTTGCCTCTTACACATCTTTTTTTTAATAAAATAAAACACTGAGTCTGATTTTTATATACTTCTATTGATAGGATTACAGCCATATTTGTAAAAAGTGCATCACTGATCTTCATATAATTAACAAGGAACATAAAATTAATTGTCTGGAGAAACTACTAGGATGATTTGACAGAAATTTTTCAAACAACAGATAAGCAAACAACTCCAGAAGAGTTCTTCTAGGTGTAGTACTGACAAGAACAAAGACCTAACAAAAAACATGAAAGTTGAAAGCCATTTAAATGACAAGGATCATTGAATATTCTTCAGAAGCAGAGATGGTGTCAGAGAAAAACGATGTATGAAAATAGTTGTTAATAAACTCAGACAACCAAAATGAAATATCTCAAAGAAAGCAACTGTAAGTAAAACAGTTTCCACAGGTGAAATGAGAATTCCCTTAAAAAGCACGCTACTGGCCAAGCAGAAGCTATGCTAAGACAAAACATATTTTCTTCACATTAACTAGTCTGTTTTGGATTTGTGCTCAAAACAGTGTAATAACACAGGGATATTTTCATTCTTGCTGAGCAGTGCTTACACAGCTTCAAGGCCTGTTTTGTAGGCATCATGAAATTCTAATGTAGCTTGGAATGCTCACATACACAGATTGTAGACCTTTGCTCTTGGAGTCAGATATTTACAGTCTACACATCCCTCGATCTATGGAATCTTGACAAGATTCTTGAAAACATTTTTGTTTCTACCTTCCATTACAAGCAAACCTGAATTATATGGGGCAGAATTTAAATATATGAGATATCAGGGAGGAAATGTAATTGTCAATTCATGCTTTTGAGCCTCCTTTACTTAATAAGCACAGCGGGGTCTTCTTCACTGAACACTCCAGCTCGTTGATACATTCTTGCATATATTTCTATAAAATCATTTCAGTAATCTTCAGACATTTTATCTTTTATGCTGATGCTTTTTTATACTTTGTTAAAAAAAAATCTTGCAACCCTTTCTGGAATTCTTAGCTCTAACTCCATACTCTTTTATTATTGTTTACTCTGACCGGTTTGGATAAGGGCTACAATAGTATTTGTGCTACTATTTAATAATTATAATGTTTTGTTATGCATAAAAACCTTTTGTTAAGAAGTCTTATCAATAAGTTATTAATACTCTCTTAATACTTTTCCAATCCTACATTAAGTCATTTCCTATTGGCATCTGCTACTTTTCTGTATAGTCTTCTACTGTCCAAAACATTTTTTTCTCTTCAGACCTTTTATTTGCAAAGCAGTTTCCTACTTCAGCTGCATCCCAAGAATGTGTACTAAATGCCTATTCCATTAAAGTAAAACAGATATAAGTCGATGTTTATTTCAAGCAAAAACTCTTGACTCAGTAAATCACAAAATGTGTAAGCATTAAACTGTTGCAACATTTCAGACTGTACTAACTTATTTTTCAGTTGAACTAAATCATATTTTCATGATACATGAAGAATATCAAAGACTTTATTAGGTCTTACCATAATATAAAGCAAAACATTCTTTTCTTATGAGGTGTCTTAAATTTTAAAAATACTGTGGGGAAAAACAAACAAAAAATCCAAGCCCAAGAGAGCCAAAAAATACAGAAAGTATTTTCCTAGACTGGTGGCCCTTGGTATTCATAAGTACAAATCCCGAAGTGGAGTTATAAAATGATGCTTGCCACTATGTAAAAGTATATTGTTATTACTAACATTTTAGTAATAAAAGGGAATTGAAGCACTAGAGAATTAAGAGAAAGTGTTCAGTAGGATGACGTAAACTTGGAATCCAAAGAAAGTAATTGTCAGTCATTATTCAGAGATATAAATCAATGACCATCCAACATTCTGCTTGCATCCAGTCAGGAGAAAAATAGATGTATTGACCTTTTTTTATCAAGTGAAACTTCAACTTGTGCTGATTCCACTCTACACACTCATATACGACGACTCCCTTCAAACCTCATAGCTTTTCCTGATAAGCATTGCATATGTTTGCAACACAAAAAAGTACTGTGGCTAAGCTTCTCTGTGAGTACCTTTCAAGTCTGAAGTACACAGACATTATGCTGGATCTCAGGATAAGAGGGATTTTCAACTTATGACCAACATAATTCATAAAGCAGGCAAATTTACCTTTTTTGGTGGAAAAATTCCTGAAACACACTAGTTTGCTTTAAATGTCTGCTACATCTTCAAGAAATCAGTCAGTTTACAGTGTGCACTGGTGGCTGAAGACAGAGGAGTGGAATACAGGCAGGAGTGAAAACTAGTTCAGGAAGAAGAGCAGGCAGGGTCTAGATGTTGAAATGGGTATGAGAAGTCTGGGAGTGACATTTAGGTACTGACTAATCATGACAAAAAAAGATATAAAAAGACAATAAGAAAAATACCAGAACCAGAAAGTAAGGAACTGTATATTCCTTTAGTTTCTAAGAATAACCCAATCTATCATGTGTGATTAAACTAAAAATAGAAAAATAACATATTTACAGTTTTTTGCAAGCTAAAAACGGATTCATCTATTTTGTGACAGTACACAAAATTCAAATAGACTTATGAGAGAGAAATAATTGTTCAGGGCTATAACAACAACAGGAATCAAATGTTATTGAATTATTAATAAATCAAAATTTAGGTATTTCTTGAATCATCCTAAAATGATGCAATGGTAATTATGAGGAAATACCTGCATCAGGTATTTTTCTTCAAAATATACCATAAAAATGAAAACAAAAAAACTCTAAATCTTCAATTTTGTGTACAAAGGATGAGTGACCCTTTCTTATAAAGACAAAAGGTAAATTTATTCTTTTAATGTTAACATTTTTTTAATATATATGAATTTAAAATTTGGCTATTGAAAACTCATGCTTTAAATATTAAAAAAAAAGAAAAAAGGAAAGAAATTTTGCACTACCCATTTGAAAAAAATAATAAATGAAATACAGTGTGGGAATAGATATATATTATTTGAACTAAATAAAATTGTTTTAAAATCTATTATAATTATTCCTTCTAATTTATTCCTCATTCAAAGCAATTTTTTCAGAGAAGTACAATAAAAAAAGTAATTTAACTTTTCAAATGTGAAATAACAAAACACTACTAAATTTGAGAACACCACACACCTTTCATAACTTTCAATATTTCTTGAAAAAATTAAATTTGACAACTGTGAGTTTTTCAGAGCTTTGATGTAAGTAGATACAGAAAAACACATAAAAGATATATGGGAAAGGGAAGGAGCATTTATTTCAGCCAAACAGGAAAAATGAACCTGTATGATAATATGTACAGGCTGGTATGCAATTTAGCATAAAAACACCAAACATCATGCACAGACCATTATGAACATGAAAATTGAATTCCAAAATTAAATATCTTCCAAAACAAAGGTAGAATATATACAAAAATAAAAATATTTAGATAATTACACCAAAAATCTAAAGAAAAAACAATCAGAGTTCTGATAGCTTGCATAACAAAGTCAATTTAGGAGAATCAAATGATAATAAATCCTTATTAATGAAGTTGAAAACTTATTTTCTGCTGTTTTTTTGGTTTGTTTTGGCTTTTTAAAACGTAGAATATTCAGAATGGAGACTTTTAAAGAAATTGCAAAAGAAATTCTAAATTTTCAATGCAGATGGCTTTAAAATAAAATAAAGTAATAGTATGAAAAAGATTGTTATATACAAAGCTACAGTTACAAGGTATATAAATAGCATATCTAATACTCTTTTTTAATTACTCTCCCCCCCTAAAAAACTGACTATCAATCCATCAGACATGTTCAATCATTACTTGGGGTTGTTACGGGATCAGAACTTAGAAAACAGACATGTTTCTGAACAAAAACTACATGTAAGTAGACTTCTGAGAAATTATGAAGTCCTGAGAACCCCTAACCCTTTTCAGAAGAGAGCCACTGAATTGCTCATAAACCAAGGAATAATATTTCATATAGTTACCTACAAAATGTGTAATGCAGAATTCAAGGAAAAAAAAAGAGCACATAGTTCTGTCCTTACTTGCAGTAGATGATTTTTTATGAATCACAGTTTATTTTTTATTATCTTACCCATCGATATATTTTCATGTCCAGTAGATTCAATCATCACTGGAAATGCAGAGTATGCTTACTCGCAGCTGTAAAGATCTTAATGACTACAATATATAGAAGGAAAAAGATACGGTTCCAAATTTCAGAAACAGAATTAAAAATAAAAGAAAGACTTGGATCTTTAAGTGAAAAATGAGCATTAAAACAAACTACAGAAAAAAATAATTAAGGCTCCACAGCTGTTGGTATACTATAGACTATTATAGGGAATTCTTAAAGTGAAAAAAAAAGGGCATAGAAATATCACATGAGCAGCTTAAAGGAGAGAATTGTCTTTTTTTGTTGTTTTGGTATTTTTGGGGGGAGAGTTAAGCAATATTTTCCAGGATAAAAAAGGAGAGTAAAGGAAAGTGATGATGAAGAAAATACGTTTCTAGGAGCTTTAGCATTTTATTGTTCCCTTGCATTGCTACAAAATGAATATTCAGTAACATGCTTTCTGTCCAACAGAAATGCATTTGTTAAGCACAAAAAAAATAGAGCTACAAAATTAAGCTAGTACATATGCTTTCTGCACCAGAAATGTTTTTGGTCCCTCTTATTATTCTGAGTACAGCTCTTACAATATGTAGCACTTATTCTGAGTACCAGTCTTCGTAGCTAAAAAGAGTTGTTGCAATTACCAAAACTTTTACTGAACAATAACTGCCGTTTTAAAGGCAGCTACAAATGAGCAACTCGTAACACCAATTTAAAGCCCTCATATATCTTTTATTTATTCTATTATTTAAATACATGTGAAGAGGACAGATACTTAAAAAAGACTACTAACCAAAAGTTAATACTTAACAGAAGGGGTATCCTTGATTACAGAAGGCAGCTGCTCTCTTAAATCTCGGCAATCTACTTTTACGACCTTTACCAAGCCAAACTCAGTGCTCATTGGCAGCACTGCTCTTTACATTTGTGCAGTTTACCTTCTCCTTAGCTAGTTATTTCAAACAAAATCATGCAATCTCAAGTATCACTATACAAAAGCAATATGATACATAAAGTGTATTAACTCAAACCTCTTCAATAGATAGATATTTAAACATAAACAAACTTGAAACACTCTAAGTTTTTGAGTGTTTCTTATGTAATCTTGCAGGGATCGATCATTGTCCCAGTATTGCTATCACTGATCTGGAATCAAGTATACGATGATTGCTATTGAAGTGTGCAGAAGGTACAAAGGCTGGTTGATTACTGAGTAATGAAGGGAACAGGTCACTGACAGACACAGGACAATATTCTGCAAAACAGTAATTCTAGGAACAATTAGGATAAATGTGAAGTACTTATATATCAGTGAACAGCATCAAGAAAAGTCCTTGGCAGGTTATGTGGATACAATGTAACAGCAGTATGTGTAATTGAAAGTGTAAGAGAAAATTGTGGTAAAACTGCACAGGTTGTAGCATAACAAGAACTTATGTTTGAAAGCGAGTCAGTCATGTTCCAATTTATATATTTTTCAATTAGTGGAATAAATGAAACAAAGTATTTCAGAAGATTTTCTATAATTTCTATAATTTGTAAAGAGACCTTATAAGCAATGAAAAAGTTACTCACTGGATGAAATTATCAACTTATCTTACATAAAAAATTAAAAACCCACTGACATTTGTATCTATGTACCTATAAAAAAATTTATTCTAGATTGAAATGTCAAAATATATGTTGGCAAGTAAAATCTTCTTAACAAAGTATACAACTGTTGGGAAGTGAATTCTTTTTTATATTTGCAAATTCGCGATAATGGTGACAGCAGACAAACACAACAGACACACTTCTGGAGAGTTTTTCATTTGTATTGAAATTAAAACTATTATTTGAAAATTATTGTGTGGAAATTAGTAAACACTTATTTTTACATAAAAATATATGTAATTATAAGTAAAAAATACTTCATTCACTACTGTGAATTTGCTAACAATGGAAATGAAAAAAATTACTTAAAATGTTTCTTCTGGTCTAGTTCAAATGATAGCTCAACTAAATTTCTGGATGATAAAAAATTTCAACTCAATAATCAAGCAATAACAATGTTAAATAAATGTTAAATACTTTGTACTTTCTTTTGAGAATATCATAGTGTTAGAACAGTAAACAAAAACAATAAATTTTGCTGGGTAGTATTGTTAAACTAACAGACAAAACACATTTTTAAACAAATACCTTTTGTCTTCTCATATGCTGCTGAACTAAATAGATTTGTAAAGAACCAAACATTTTAGTCAATAATAAGAAAAGTGAAATTACTAATCAACTAACGTAACTCTAAAATTAGGATAACTTGCTTGCAACTTAGATGGGAGTAAATATTCATGACTAGATGAACTGGAGGTCATTCACGACACAGTAAATTCTAACTGTAACTCATACTACAGACTGTTCATTACTATTGCAATTCGTATATCATATTCTATTAGCTTTTCTTCACAATTGTATTTCTGGAAAAGCAAATATAATTGCTTACCAAGATGGTAGTAACAATTAAAGAGCGATTGGACAGGGAATCTGTGATGTTTGCTGGTTTTCCTTTCTGATTCTCTGTCATGTTAAGGCCACTCAATGGATCCCAAGTTCCAACCTGTAAATCAGTACATTACTGTGTAAATTGCCAATTAGTTACATATCAGCATCTAGAAAAGAACACTGTAAGGAAAAACAAATTGCTGCAGGGAAAAAAATGATTGCTAATATTTATTATTAAACTCTGCTCCATTTTTCTCTGTCACTGAATTTAAAGTTTGCTTATTTAAAATATGTTTACCAATACCTCAAATTATGTTTCGCAAAGTGTGACATTAAGTGTAAGAATGACGTATAGAATATCTAAAGCTACTCTGAACACTTAATTTTCCATTTAATTTTCATTCCTCAAGATAAATCACATCTGAAAATAGCTTAACAGGCAGAAATTCATTTGCAGTGCAGAAAGCATTGTCTCTACAAAGGGATTTACCCTTTTTCTTGATCAGAGAGAACAGCAAGACAAAAACATGTTTTTTGGAAAATATAATGATGAAGGTTAAGTGCAATAACTTAATTTACTTACAGATAAATCTTCAATACATAAGTATTTTGACATTTTATACATTGAAATAAAGTCAATAGGATTTTTATCTAAGTAAGAACATCCAGGGTTATGCTTTAAGGTTCAGGTCAGAGACAGACTCACAAACTAAGTAATAAGTAATGATTACATAATTTATCTGCAATTTCACCATTACACTATTAAAATGGTCAAGCAGTAAATATATCTATCCATTTTAGAAATCAGAATCTTTGTATTACTCCACTGTCTAAAAAGCCATACAAATGTTTTGTACTTTGTTTTTAGACAGGATTTTAAACATCACTTCAAATACTATACAATACCCATAATAAAAGATAAAGATATGTTAAAACTAAATCTAGAAAAAAAATAAAAATTATGTGATGTTTGATTATGAATATATATATATGTATGTATAGATGTATATATAAACAAACACAATTTTTTTTATAATCTTTCAAAGTGACTCCTGAGAAACTGTTCGTATACTTTTAAGTGATTTGTTGCCGTAGGACTGTAAAGAGTGTTTAGAATGCAATATTGTGTGGGTGAAATGAGAAGAGTTCTATTTCTAAAACTGAGACTGAGCCTGAATCAGCAGGTGCTGTAATAGAGAAGAGATAAATTTGCTCTCTTTTTCTACAATTTTCTGTTCTGTGGAAATCAATATTTTATCTTTCTTCTTTGCTTAACACTCAGTTCCAAGAGGTCAGTCTTTGAACTTGGTCATTCAGTACCTCATAAATTGATGAAAGAAGATAATGCAATGTGTGTCTCAGAAATACAATTGGAAAATAACATCTAACTGACCATTTTAAAGTATTGAAATCGAGCCTTAGTACCAAAAGAACTCTCCTTCATTTACTGTTTTAGTATCATTTTAATTGGTGAATTAAAAGGTTTTTTAGGAAACCCAAAATCTTCAGCCTTATTGAACAATGTCCAAACTAGAGTAGAATAACAAGGAATGACAAAGACCGGAACTTGAGCCTATCCTTACATAATTGAAGCTGGACTAATGTCCTCTATGAGATACAACTTCAGGTACACAAGTAGCACAAAAATTTCTTGGGAAACATCATCAACTTATATGATCAATTTCAAATCCAAAATTCCTTAAATCACGTGTTTTATTCAAGCTCATATTCACAATTCAAATTTAACTTGACAAAGGCTAAAACACTGCTAACTAAAATACTTCCTCTCCTACTTTTTAACATAATCACAGCCACAGCCACAAACAAAAGAATAATATCAGCTGTTAGAATTTGGGTTTTATCTAACTACATCCATACAAATTTATAAGAACTATCAACAGTATAACTTTAAAAACAAACTTCTGTCTTGATAAGTTGATGCATTAGTTTTCTAAATTAGATTAATTGTATTTTTATTGCTGCTTTTGTGAATCAAAAATCTAAGAAATGAAACAAAATCAGATTTTCAAAATTAGGCATTTTTGGTTTATCTTTATTGATGAGCTCAAACTCAACAATTTACACCACAGATTCTGATATGTCACTGATATGTGTAGCTCCCAAATCACACACACATTTTCAAAGCTACTTCTTATAAAAAAACTGTGCATGAATAGTGCAGCAAATTAATTATTTTCTATTTGTTTCAGCACAGTATTTTAATTTTTACATAGTCTTTTGAACAGATTAGAGTTGTTTATGTGTTTTCAGTAGAAAATTTTAAATATCAAAAATGTAGTTATATTACATATAACTGCAATTGAAACAAGTTACTTTAGTGCATTACATTTATTTTAAATAAACTTTCAAAGTTTGTTTCAAAGACAGAACTCCCCAGGAAGGACATAGCTGTTCAGGTCACTGGCTGCACAGACTATCTGAGCCTGGCGTTAGTACCAGAGGACAGTGTGAGAGACGCCTGCATACAATGAGAGCAGGTGAACGATCTGCTGTGCCTGGAGGCAGAGCTCAAGGAGGAAGAGGAGGGGCTAAGAAGTATTGGGGAGAGTGAAAGGGAAATAGACTGGTGGAGTCATACTCTTTCGACCCCAAAAGAAGACCAGCAGGAGACAGTGAAGCCCTGCCCCTCCTGCCATCAGGCAGATGGAGCAAACCAAGTAGGTGGGGGGGAATGGAAACAGGTCCCTGATCAAAGAGGTAGAAGAATCCTTTCCCAACCCCCATCAACCCCCATGGTTCCCTTAAAGAACAGGTACAAGGCCCTGGGCCCAGAGAGTCAAGCAAAGGGCACTCAAGAAGAGGATCTCTCTGGAGGGTGTCCCTGCTGCACCCTGTCAATCAGACAGATCACAACCACAGCTATAAATAAAAAAAGAAGAGTAGTTGTGGTAGGTGACTCCCTTCTGAGGGGAACTGAAGGCCCTATATGCCAACCAGACCCATCCCACAGGGAAGTCTGCTGCCTTCCCGGGGCCCAGGTGACGGATATTAGTAGGAGACTCCCTGAGCTAATCTGGCCCTCTGATTATTATCCACTGCTGGTGGTCCAGGCTGGCAGTGATGACGTTAATGAAAGAGGTATCAGGTTAATTAAAAAGGACTTCAAGGGTCTGGATTGGTTAGTTAATGGGACAGGAGCACAGGTGGTGTTCACCTCAGTTCCTGCAGTAGCAGGGATGAATGAGGAGTAGGAATAGGTGACTAAAGGATTTGTGCCGCTGGCAGAATTTTGTTTTTTTCGACCATGGGGCTAGTTCTATGGTACCTAGTCTCCTCAAATCAGATGGGCTTCATCTATCTAGCAAGGGCAAAAGGACTATAGCCCATAAGTTGTCGGGGCTGATCAGGAGGGCTTTAAAATAGGTTTGGAGGGGGAACAGGTTGAAACCAGGCTCTCCAGAGATGAGCCTAAGGGTGGAAAGCCAGAGTTAGAAGTGAAATCAGCAGCCCAGCTGAAGTGCATGTACACCAATGCACACAGCATGGGTAAGAAATAAGAGAAGCTGGAAGCCATCATGCAGCAGGAAAGCTATGATGTAGTCGCCATCACGGAAACGTGGTGGGATGACTCACATGACTGGAGTGCTACCGTGGGTGGCTACAGGCTCTTCAGAAGGGACAGGCAAGGTAGGAGAGGTGGAGGCATGGCTTTATATGTTAGAGAGTCTCTTGACTCTGTAGAACTTAAAGTCAGTAACAATAAAGTTGAGTGCCTGTGGATCAGAATCATGGGGAAGGCCAACAAGGCTGATATCCTAGTGGGAGTCTGTTATAGAGCACCCAATCAGGATGAAGCAGGTGATGAATTATTCTACAAGCAGCTTGCGGATGTCTCAAAATCACCAGCCCTTGTTCTTGTGGGAGACTTTAACCTGCCGGAAGTCTGCTGGGAACTCAACACAGCAGAGAAGAGGCAGTCTAGGAGATTCCTAGAGCATAGAGAGGATAATTTCCTGCTTCAGCTGGTAAATAACCCTACCAGGGGTGGGGCCCCGCTAGACCTGCTGTTCACAAACAGAGAGCTGGTGGGAGATGTGGTGGTCAGAAGCCGTCTGGGGCACAATGACCGTGAAATAATACTCAGGGATGCAAAGAGGGCCATCAATAAAACTTCTGCCCTGGACTTCCAGAGGGCAGATTTTGGCCTACTCAGAAGACTAGTTCTGAGGGTACCTGGGGAAACAGCCCTTGAAAATAAAGGGGTCCAGGAGGGATGGACATACTTCAAGAAGCAAGTCTTGAACGCACGGAAACAGAGTGTCCCAGTGTGCTGAAAGGCAAGCTGGTGGGGAAAGCAGCCAGCTTGGCTGAACAGGAAATTAGGGGGGAAAAAGAGAGCTTACCGACTATGGAGAGCTGGCAACTCATGAAGAGTTTAGGAATATGGTTAGGTCATGTAGAATGAATTAAAATTAGAGAGACAAAGGCAAAATTTGGACACAATCTAGCCACTTCTGTTAGGAATAAAAAGAAGTACTTGTACAGATACATTAATAGCAAAAGGAGGGGCAAGGAAAATCTCCATTTTTGTTGGACGTGGGCAGGAACATAGTTATCAAAGACGAGGAAAAGGCTGAGGTATTTAACACCTTCTTTACCTCAGTTTTCAACAGTAAGACAAGTTGTCCTCAGGACAAGTGGCCTCTGGAACTGGTAGAGACAGGAAGCCAAATAGCCCCCTGTAATCCAGGAGGAAACAGATAATGACCTGCTGAGCCACTTGGACCCTCACAATTCTATGGGACCGATCCATCCTAGGGTGATGAGGGAGCTGGCAGAAGAGCTCGCCAAGCCTCTCTCCGTCATCTACCAACAGTCCTGGCTCACTGGGGAGGTCCCAGATAATTGGAAATTGGCAAATGTCACACTGATTTAGAAAAAGGGCTGCAAGGAAGACCTGGAAAACTACAGGCCTCTCAGCCTGACCTCAGTGCCTGGCAAGGTTATGGAGCAGATCATCCTAAGTGCAATAACACAACACCTACAGGATGGACAAGGGATCAGACTCAGCCATCATGGGTTTAGGAAGGGCAGGTCCTGTCTTACCAACCTGATCTCCTTTCATGATCAGGTGACCCGCCCAGTGGATGAGGG